AGTGGCCCGGACGCTTTAGTTAGCCTAACAGTGGCCCGGACGCTTTAGTTAGCCTAACAGTGGCCCGGACTCTATAGTTAGCCTAACAGTGGCCCGGACGCTTTAGTTAGCCTAACAGTGGCCCAGACGCTTTAGTTAGCCTAACAGTGGCCCGGACGCTTTAGTTGGCCTATCCTAACAGTGGCCCAGACGCTTTAGTTAGCCTAACAGTGGCCCGGACTCTATAGTTAGCCTAACAGTGGCCCGGACGCTTTAGTTAGCCTAACAGTGGCCCAGACATTCACAAATCTAATATAAAATAATCATTTAGAACAAGAATGACATTTTGGTGAGAAAAAAAGTCTAAATTAAATCATGTTAAGAAAATGGAGGATGTCTGGGTCTATTTTTTTTTTGTTTTATTTTTTTTTTTTCTCAAACAAACCAGATTTCTTACTTAACTTATTTTCATACCACAAACTTAGTCATTTCTCATGTACCAGTCTACAACTCACTTGTTAATTCTGATCAGAAAGCAGTCATCAAAAGTGGTTATTTTAAATTCATTTCTCCAATGTAAGTTATGCATGTGTGGACTTCCGTAACTAAACAGTGTAATGCGGCATGTCCTATTATTCATAGCCTATTTTTATTCACTTGAAAGAGGGCAACAAAACACTAAGAATGGATTGATGGGCTATTTTATGTTATCTAGAAGGATGTTTGACATGTAAAAATGTGTATTAAGAAGAAGTACCCAAGTCTGACAATTTTAACAAATACTCGTATTAGTTTTGGGGAGAGTCCCATGTTACAGTCACCAAAATCCCCTTTGTTCTTGATCACGTAGTTCAATAGATCTCATTGCAAAGTTCAACAAAATGGCCGTGCCAAAGTGTATAGCAGACAGAACTGATGACGAGACGATTTGAACAAAAATGCAAAGTTTTTTTATTTTGCTGCTTTTTTCACACAAAGTTCAATATGAAATCATTTATTAAAGAAACTCCAAAAATTTAAGTGTGAACTTAATGTGTACATCAAGCAAGGCTAACATGAAGCTGACAGCTGATAATCTTGTGTTGGCAAATGTGATGAGGCAATTGCTAATCAGCCCTGGACCTCTTCATGTCCAACCTTGGAAAGTCAAATGCATTACCATAATTCATTCATAATATCAATATATGATTTTTGGTTGATTGCAATCTCTGGTATTTACAAACTGATAACTAATGTGTGTATGGAAATCATCAACTTTCTATTCAGCTTCATCCTTAATGATTGACGTAAAACACATTATTAAATATATACATTTTGAATCAGACATCAAGATTGCTGAATAGTGCTGGTAATGCATTCTCATGGCCTGCTCACCAGGTATATTATGGTGCAGTTGTCTATTTCTGGGGAAGCTCTGAAATATTTCAAGCATTTACACTACCATTGCACTGATAAGATAGAGATGTAGCTAGCAGTGAAAAACCTGTGAAAATTATATCTTTTCTGCTATCCAAAGCATCAACAGCTTAAGTTAATATTAACAAGCAAGGAAAAAGTGCATGTATATTGATCATTTGAAGCCTATATTTTATTGACTATATCCTTTCAGCTTTTATTCCACAAATCCTGGTTGGATCAGTTTACCTGGAATGTTGGTCTGTTTTATCAGGCTAAAAGCTATTTCAAATTTTGGCCATGTTATTGTAATTAGATGTTAGTTATTGCTTAGAAAGATTTTAAAAACAAATTATGAAGGCTGATGTAGGTAGTCATTTATATAGGAAATTTTATACGACTTTAACCTGTACTATATACATGTACCTGTACTATATACATATACCTGTTATAGATGTGTACCTATACTATATACATGTACCTATACTATATACATGTACCTGTTATAGATGTGTACCTGTTATAGATGTGTACCTGTACTATATACATGTACCTGTTATAGATGTGTACCTGTACTATATACATGTACCTGTTATAGATGTGTACCTATACTATATACATGTACCTATACTATATACATGTACCTATACTATATACATGTACCTATACTATATACATGTACCTGTTATAGATGTGTACCTGTACTATATACATGTACCTGTTATAGATGTGTACCTGTACTCTATACATGTACCTGTTATAGATGTGTATCTGTTATAGATGTGTACCTGTACTATATACATGTACCTGTTATAGATGTGTACCTGTACTCTATACATGTACCTGTTATAGATGTGTACCTGTACTCTATACATGTACCTGTTATAGATGTGTACCTGTTATAGATGTGTACCTGTACTATATACATGTACCTGTTATAGATGTGTACCTGTACTATATACATGTACCTGTTATAGATGTGTACCTGTACTCTATACATGTACCTGTTATAGATGTGTACCTGTACTATATACATGTACCTTTTATAGATGTGTACCTGTACTGTATACATGTACCTGTAATATATTTGCACCTGTACTTACATAAATATATACCTATCTGTATTGATCAAGTATATTTGTTTCTGTGTCTATCTGCAATTAATTTTAACGCCATCACTTCCTTCTTAAAAAATACCTTTTAAGCTTACATCTCCATTTCCACTGGTGTTATCCAGTGGTGAGATTTTGTGGAATGATTTAAGGAATGAAATGAAGATAGTGTTGTGTATTGTTTGCTTACTCTACTGCTGAAATTTAGTGTTGTTTTTGTAATTTTTGTAATTTAACAATTGTTCACACTACCTGTGATGCTATTGATAGATGGCCATTGACAAAGGCCTCTTGTGTGATAGGGGATTTTGGATTGGAAACTCCATATCTGTCTTGTTATCAATACTTTTGTACTTCCTGGTATGTTAGATTGTCAAAAATGTCATTGTCATTTTTTTTTACCTGGTTATAGAATTTCAGAATTCCATGGTTACATGGAAACAATGCTTGATGTTTGCCACAGAATGTTTAATTGAGGATGAATGTTTACTTACAAAACTTTTCTGTTGAATACAAAATCTCCATCTTAAGAATGCTTCCATCACATTAATTTATTAGGTCACCTGGGACAAAGTCTCATGGTGACCCATTGTGATCACTTTTGTAAGGCATCGTGCATCCATAAACAATTTAACATTTTCAATTTCTTCTCAAAAAACCCCTGAACCAATGTCAATGAAATTTTGCAAATCCTTCCCTGACTTTAGATGAACCAATCTGGTGAATTACCTGGGTATATGGTTCCCACACCACAGGGGTCTGAGGGGTGAGGCCAAAAGTGTAAAAATTTCAAAAATCTTCTTCTCAACACTCAGATGAAGTAGAATCAAATGCTCTTAATGGATGGAAGTATCTTATGGTGCTTTACCAAAGTTTTGAATTTCATGACCCCAGGTCCTCATATTTCCCCATGGGGAAGGGGTAAAGTTTACTCTATCTTATATAATGGAAAAATAGATTTTTGAGCATAATATGTTTAATTTCCATTGGAAATATTTCAAACTTGATAAGAATTATGAGCAAGGATGATGGCTTGATGGTATGCACATATTGATCTCAGCTGACCACCAGGGACTGATGGACAGGGCAAAAAAAAGTGGGTCAAATTGATTTGAATTTAAAAATCTTCTCAACACTCAGATATGGTAGAATCAGATGTTCTTTATAGATGAAAACATCTTAAGGTGCTTTACTAAGGCTCCTACATTTCTCCCTGTGGAGGAGGTTAACTTTACTCTAATTTTTATAGAAATATTGCATTTTTCAGCATAAGGTTGTTTATCATCCATTGGAAATATCGTTGTAAGAATTATCAGTATAGGATGAGTTTTGATGGTATGCATGTATTGACATGTTTACTATCATCATTGTCACAATTTCTTTTATAAGACACTTGAAAGCTACTTACCCTTAACCTTTATATTCAATACCGCTTATCTCAGGTGACGGTCAAGGCTGCTACTCCTCTTGCTGATGAAAAGTATTATCAGTGTTCTATAATATTGCTGAAATAGATGTGATGTTATTGTGGAAAACTGTTTGAAAAATCCTTTATATATTCTAACTGTTACCTACAAAGATAATTCTATGTCATTGATTTATAGATTCCATTGCATCTTCTGTCTTTCTTCACCCTCGCCAAAATACAGCTTATATTTTAAGACACTGACCATGTATTCTATATGTATTTGTCTGGAAATTATAGCTGTGTCCTGAGCCAAAATACAACTTATATTTTAAGAAACTGACTGTATTCTATTTATCCTGCAACATTGATTGAAAATTAGACCATCAAAACGTCAACAGTTTTATTGTTGTCTTTGTTTACCTGACGTTGACATTATGCTGAGTTTTGTTGTTCAGTCTTTGTTTACCTGACGTTGACATTATGCTGAGTTTTGTTGTTCAGTCTTTGTTTACCTGATGTTGACGTTATGCTGAGTTTTGTTGTTCAGTCTTTGTTTACCTGACGTTGACGTTATGCTGAGTTTTGTTGTTCAGTCTTTGTTTACCTGACGTTGACGTTATGCTGAGTTTTGTTGTTCAGTCTTTGTTTACCTGACGTTGACGATATGCTGAGTTTTGCCTGACGTATGCCAAAATAATTGTTTTGCACAGAAATAAATTCCAAACTTAAACAGATATGACAGGTTTTTAAAAAAATTTTTGTAGATAAACTTGCATATTATAACATATAAAATCACTTATTTCAGCAGTATTTATATTGGTAAATGTAATTTCTAAGCAGATTCAGAAATTAATTCTGTTGAATTTATGTTAAAACATAGCTGTTTTCTATCACTGCCGAATACAGCAAAAATATGTGTCAGGCATATTCCGACAATAGCAATGCCAGTTGCAGGACAAATTAAAATATGGGCTAGCACAAAATGGTTGGTTAATCAGCTTGCAAATCCTTTGTCATTCAATGCCTGAAATGTTTATTTAACAACCTTTTTCAAAACAACATACCTTATAGGCATTGTAATAGATGTAGTTTTTATATCTTTGTAGACCAAGAATTGGAAAAAAACAATATACAAAGAAATGAAGGCAGTGTGAAACGGCCAGTTCCTGCTGGTGGAAAACCCAAACCAAAGATTGCCAAGAAACCATCAGTTTCAAGTAAACCACCTAAACTGCCATCACAGAACAGTGTTGATTTAGTAAGGGGAAGTAACTCCCCAGGTATGTACTATATTGTAAATAGCTGTCAATACATTTTGTGAGAACACTTACTTTGGAATATGTAACTGAACATTTTACACAAAGAGGTGAAGACAATATCAGTTTTGACACCAGTAAAGGTTATTGAATATACCTGATATGTTGTTATATGAAAGTTACTGGTGTCTTATTTAAATATTATCCTGATTTTATGCTCAAAATTATAAGTGAATTTTCTTGTCTGTGTTATCTTGTGACTTTGATATTTGACTTTTATAGATAATGTATTCAGTCCTCAATTGCACAAGTGCACACAAGCAGCAAGTCAGCTTCCCAAAGAGCACACCTCCTATGACCCTTCCTTACGGAATCTTACTATCCCAGCAGAGTCTGAGACCACATCCTCTCCTTCTGCACAACACAGCACCTCAGGTTTCAATGATGTCAGTGATTGTGCAGATCAATTGCTTTCGAAGAAAGTAGATCCAGTCTTGCAAGGAAATTCAAAGGAATCATCAACTAATGGGGTGTGTTTAACAACACCACAAGTCCAAGGTTGTGACCTAAGTTTACAATATAAGGTGAACAATCCCAATCAAGAAACATGTTTAAGTCCAGCTGGTAGCAATTACGTGTTGGAAAATGGAGAACCAGTTGATGTACAAAAGTCAGCAAGAAGTTCAAGAAAACCTCCTTCAGTTTCACCGAAACCGAGGAAAACTTCACTTACACCTGAGAGTAAACAATCCCCTTGTAGTACTGAGCACAATGGGATGGACATCTCTCCGAAGTCTGAGAATGAGCAATATGCCAATTCTCAACAGGAACAGCACAAGAGCTTGTCTAATAGTGTTTTATCTAAAGTGTCCATTTTTTCAGAACAGATTAATCAGCAGCGGTCATCACAGGTTCCACCTGTCCATTGCTGGTCAGGTCAAGTGGATAAGACCAACTCTTTCAGTGAAAAACAGTTGAAAAACAAGACGGGTGTTTCAAGAAGTTTAACAGTCAGTTCATTGGAGAAAAGAACAGTGATCACACAATCCAACACAACAGATGGTGAGTTGTTACCTAGAGAGGTGGAATCACCTGTTAAAGACGATAAATCAAACATACAACGATCCCAATCAACAGTTACCATGAGGCCGAAACCTACGCCAAGGGTCTCACCAAAGGGAGGTAAGCCGGTTCCTGTTCCGAGAAAAAGGTTGTCTTTGGGGAGAAAAATGGCAGAGGAAGGAATAACCAAAGATAGTGATTCTTGTAATACATTATCAGTGTCATCATCTATGACATCGGTGACACCATTAACGTCGTCTATGACATCGGTGACATCATTAACGTCATCTATGACATCAGTGACATCATTAACGTCGTCTATGACGTCACAAGTGACATCATCAAATCAAAACGAAGAATCCAGTAATGACACCAATGACCTCCCACTTGAGATAGAATCTGATCAATCCGATGCGAACAGTAAAGATGGAAGTATAATATCTATGGACACCACAACCCCACCCCAACCCCCACTTATTCCCCCAAAACAAAATACAGAAGAAGTAAAAAATAGGTATGTAAATCTCAACAAATCTGACGATGATACATCATCGTTGTTGAATGACATTGAAAAAATTATAAATGAAGCATTTGATGTATCTCCAAAACCTAGGGCAGTGTCTTTGGATACCTCCCCATCGCGACCACCTCGCAGAAAAAGACAGTGCTGCAATCCTGACGCCACGGAGTACAACAGTGATTCTGAGTTTACTGTGTTAAGGAAAGACTCTCACAAAGGATCCACACAGTCACTGAATGCCTTAGAGATCAGCTCTTCAAACAGAAAACCCTGTCCACCAAAACCAGTTCGCAAGAAGCTGATTAACGGTAAAAACAATCGAAGTCAGTCTGACCTCGGTGATATTCACCAGTTTGTTCTGATGAAGGAGACTGGAATGAAATTGAACCATGAAGTTAAAGTGGATACTGTGCGTGATCGTAGTACTGTCCCGCAAATGAGAGATAAATCTAATATTCAGATTGTATCAAATCGTGGTAACAGTTGTATTCTAACACCAGATACAAGAGTTCCTCCTAATCAGGAAGCCATTATTCGTGAAAAGCTTAAGGAGAGGTCAAAAAGTCTTCCTTCTTCGCGTAAAAAGTCTCGCCCTAAACGTCCTGCTCCCCCACCACCTCTGCCAGGGACTAATCTACTGCCTAGTGCTGATATGAATCTCGCATCAGTGAATTCACCTGATGAAGATCAGGAGAATCCATATTTTGAAATAAAAGACCTACCTAAAACTGATAAAGTAAAGACATATTTACCTCCAGAACTTCCTCCTAGAAATGAAACATACCCAAGAAAGTTGTCAGCCCCACAGGTTTCTCCTGTGTCTTCTACATGTCTGGAGCGCCCTATGAGTATCATCAGTAATCAGTCTGACAGTGGATCCATTAGCCAAGGTAGTCCAGCCCAAGGCAGCAGCTCTTCAGATGAGGAAAACCTTGATCAGGATACAAGGGTAAATCATTTTAAGTACTTATTTGTTAAAATGAAATCAATTATTTTCTGGAGGTGTTTTTATCTCACCTAGCAGAATGGCCAAATGAGCTAATGGCATGTCATGGTGTCTGTTGTCCATCTGTCAAGTCACTACAGGTGTCTACGCTACTAATCATGAACAACTGAATAGATTTTTAATAAATTTGGTCTGAACTAGGGAAAGAGGAACAAATTTTGTATAAATGTTGGACTTTGCCCCGTCAGGTGGGAGAAATAGAGCAAATTCTTTAATATCTCCTGTAGAAATGATTAGATTTTGCCCAGATTTGGTTTGAAACATCCTTGGGTGAAGGGTACTGAAAGTTGTATAAATATTGTGACTTGACCTCCAGTAGCAGGGTAGGGCTGGTCAGGGTGGAGCTAGATAGGGAAATAGAGCAAATTCTTTGAAATACTTCTTTTCCTGTAGGATTTCTCACTTTTGTCCCAATTTGGCCTTTAGCATCCTTAGGTGAAGAGAAATCAATTTGTATACACAGTGGGGCTGCACCCCTGAGAAGGGAAGGGTAGAACCAATATCAGAAAAAATTGAGGAGATTCTTTAAAATCCTCATTTCTGTAGAAATGAGAGGATTCTGTCCAAATTTGGTCTGAAACATGATAAGTTTGGCTGACCCCTTAGGGACAGGAGAGTAGGGACCAATGAGGAAATAGATAATATGTTGTGTGCTTGGATATTTAGAATTTCTTTTCCTTTATTTTGGATGAAGCAATATCAGCTTAACAAGACCAGGTAAACAATGCAGACCCTATTGGCCTCTTGTTTTCAAAACAAACAGACGAGATTTTAGTGTTTGTTTAGTGAACAATTTCAGAGATGTTATTGAGAATTGTATTGAAGATTCCTGATTGTAATGAAGTTTAGTTTCAAAGTTTGTTCAATAAAAAAATATGAGTGTGAATTTTATATGTTGACAAATAATCCAAAGTACAGTACAACATCCCAGGCTAGAGAACTGGAGTTTATTTATTCTTGTACAATAGACTACCATGTTTAGTTGACTTCCAGTTTCATATGTTCTGATCAGTCAAAGCTGTCTCTACATATGAAAATGACTGTGGTTTTTTTTTATACAGAAAGAACAGAAGAGATTAAAAAAGATACGATTCATTGCAAGTGAAATTGCTTCGTCAGAAAGAGTTTTTGTGGATGTACTGAAGCTACTGAACATTGTAAGTATATCAGGCGAGAAGTATATTATAGATTTTTCTCACAATGCATATGTTGATTTCCTTTGGTCCCTAATTGTGCATGAGTAATTTTGAAACTGAACTGATAAAACCAAATGGCCAACAGAATTTTGACTGTCTGATATCAGAGATGACTTATGCATGAATTTCATATATTGGTTCCTCATTTTCTGAAGTTATGCATATTGAATTAAGAAAAACAAAATGGCCATCCGGTGGCCATCTTGGATTTTGACAGAATTTTTGGGCCCCAAAAAAAAAATGGCCAAGATGTGATCATTTTGGATTTTGCTATTAAAGTTTGTCATCGCTATTTCTCTAGAAGTGCTCAATGGATCATTTTCAAATTTCATATGTAGGGACCCCTTGGTCCCTAGTTGTGTATTATTTTGGGACACATTGGGAAAGTGAATGGCTGACAAATGGTAAGAGGCAAGATCCAGCTTACATATATAGAAGCAATAAAAGATTACAAGGTGGCTGGTGCCAAGATCCTTCTTGGATCTCCTGTTGTGTTGAATATACTGAACATTATAAATACATCAAAGAGAGTTTTTAATAGAGGTACTGCAAAAGAAGAAATGATATGTTTTGGTCACTTTTTTTAATTTGAATTTCTTTCATTATTTTTTTTTTTTTTTTCAGGATTTCCGACTTCATATTTCAAAGGCAGAAGAAGAGGCAGGGAAAACCATTGTACCAAAAGAATACATAGACAAGATCCTCAGTCACCTTCCACAGCTACAGAACTTCAACGAGGACCTGTTGAAGGATATGGAATCTCGTATTGAAAAATGGTATATATGAACTTGAGTATCCAGGACATCAGATTGAATTCATAAAACAAATACATAATGTAGTAATTTGTGTTTTGTTGAATGAAAACTAAGTCAGGGAATCACCCTGTCCATCCGTTTGTCCGTCCATCCGCAAATATTGTAAACCAGTTCATTTGAAACTTCATAGTAATATACAGAACCATATGTAGATGTGCATGTACCTTTTTTCCCATAAATTTTGGTTATTATAGTAACAGATAACTGTAAACATGGTTTACTATAAATGGCCACTATTCCCTGGTCATTTAACAGATTTCGTTATCTGACAAGTGGTATGACTAATTAAAAACATGGTTTACTATAAATGGCCACTATTCCCTGGTCATTTAACAGATTTCGTTATCTGACAAGTGGTATGACTAATTAAAAACATGGTTTACTATAAATGGCCACTATTCCCTGGTCATTTAACAGATTTCGTTATCTGACAAGTGGTATGACTAATTAAAAACATGGTTTACTATAAATGGCCACTATTCCCTGGTCATTTAACAGATTCATTTAACGTTATCTGACAAGTGGTATGACTAATTAAAAACATGGTTTACTATAAATGGCCACTATTCCCTGGTCATTTAACAGATTTCGTTATCTGACAAGTGGTATGACTAATTAAAAACATGGTTTACTATAAATGGCCACTATTCCCTGGTCATTTAACAGATTTCGTTATCTGACAAGTGGTATGACTAATTAAAAACATGGTTTACTATAAATGGCCACTATTCCCTGGTCATTTAACAGATTTCGTTATCTGACAAGTGGTATGACTAATTAAAAACATGGTTTACTATAAATGGCCACTATTCCCTGGTCATTTAACAGATTTCGTTATCTGACAAGTGGTATGACTAATTAAAAACATGGTTTACTATAAATGGCCACTATTCCCTGGTCATTTAACAGATTTCGTTATCTGACAAGTGGTATGACTAATTAAAAACATGGTTTACTATAAATGGCCACTATTCCCTGGTCATTTAACAGATTTCGTTATCTGACAAGTGGTATGACTAATTAAAAACATGGTTTACTATAAATGGCCACTATTCCCTGGTCATTTAACAGATTTCGTTATCTGACAAGTGGTATGACTAATTAAAAACATGGTTTACTATAAATGGCCACTATTCCCTGGTCATTTAACAGATTTCGTTATCTGACAAGTGGTATGACTAATTAAAAACATGGTTTACTATAAATGGCCACTATTCCCTGGTCATTTAACAGATTTCGTTATCTGACAAGTGGTATGACTAATTAAAAACATGGTTTACTATAAATGGCCACTATTCCCTGGTCATTTAACAGATTTCGTTATCTGACAAGTGGTATGACTAATTAAAAACATGGTTTACTATAAATGGCCACTATTCCCTGGTCATTTAACAGATTTCGTTATCTGACAAGTGGTATGACTAATTAAAAACATGGTTTACTATAAATGGCCACTATTCCCTGGTCATTTAACAGATTTCGTTATCTGACAAGTGGTATGACTAATTAAAAACATGGTTTACTATAAATGGCCACTATTCCCTGGTCATTTAACAGATTTCGTTATCTGACAAGTGGTATGACTAATTAAAAACATGGTTTACTATAAATGGCCACTATTCCCTGGTCATTTAACAGATTTCGTTATCTGACAAGTGGTATGACTAATTAAAAACATGGTTTACTATAAATGGCCACTATTCCCTGGTCATTTAACAGATTTCGTTATCTGACAAGTGGTATGACTAATTAAAAACATGGTTTACTATAAATGGCCACTATTCCCTGGTCATTTAACAGATTTCGTTATCTGACAAGTGGTATGACTAATTAAAAACATGGTTTACTATAAATGGCCACTATTCCCTGGTCATTTAACAGATTTCGTTATCTGACAAGTGGTATGACTAATTAAAAACATGGTTTACTATAAATGGCCACTATTCCCTGGTCATTTAACAGATCGTTATCTGACAAGTGGTATGACTAATTAAAAACATGGTTTACTATAAATGGCCACTATTCCCTGGTCATTTAACAGTGGTATCTGACAAGTGGTATGACTAATTAAAAACATGGTTTACTATAAATGGCCACTATTCCCTGGTCATTTAACAGATTTCGTTATCTGACAAGTGGTATGACTAATTAAAAACATGGTTTACTATAAATGGCCACTATTCCCTGGTCATTTAACAGATTTCGTTATCTGACAAGTGGTATGACTAATTAAAAACATGGTTTACTATAAATGGCCACTATTCCCTGGTCATTTAACAGATTTCGTTATCTGACAAGTGGTATGACTAATTAAAAACATGGTTTACTATAAATGGCCACTATTCCCTGGTCATTTAACAGATTTCGTTATCTGACAAGTGGTATGACTAATTAAAAACATGGTTTACTATAAATGGCCACTATTCCCTGGTCATTTAACAGATTTCGTTATGACAAGTGGTATGACTAATTAAAAACATGGTATGACTAATTAAAAACATGACAAGTGGTATGACTAATTAAAAACATGGTTTACTATAAATGGCCACTATTCCCTGGTCATTTAACAGATTTCGTTATCTGACAAGTGGTATGACTAATTAAAAACATGGTTTACTATAAATGGCCACTATTCCCTGGTCATTTAACAGATTTCGTTATCTGACAAGTGGTATGACTAATTAAAAACATGGTTTACTATAAATGGCCACTATTCCCTGGTCATTTAACAGATTTCGTTATCTGACAAGTGGTATGACTAATTAAAAACATGGTTTACTATAAATGGCCACTATTCCCTGGTCATTTAACAGATTTCGTTATCTGACAAGTGGTAAAAACATGACTATCTGACAAGTGGTATGACTAATTAAAAACATGGTTTACTATAAATGGCCACTATTCCCTGGTCATTTAACAGATTTCGTTATCTGACAAGTGGTATGACTAATTAAAAACATGGTTTACTATAAATGGCCACTATTCCCTGGTCATTTAACAGATTTCGTTATCTGACAAGTGGTATGACTAATTAAAAACATGGTTTACTATAAATGGCCACTATTCCCTGGTCATTTAACAGATTTCGTTATCTGACAAGTGGTATGACTAATTAAAAACATGGTTTACTATAAATGGCCACTATTCCCTGGTCATTTAACAGATTTCGTTATCTGACAAGTGGTATGACTAATTAAAAACATGGTTTACTATAAATGGCCACTATTCCCTGGTCATTTAACAGATTTCGTTATCTGACAAGTGGTATGACTAATTAAAAACATGGTTTACTATAAATGGCCACTATTCCCTGGTCATTTAACAGATTTCGTTATCTGACAAGTGGTATGACTAATTAAAAACATGGTTTACTATAAATGGCCACTATTCCCTGGTCATTTAACAGATTTCGTTATCTGACAAGTGGTATGACTAATTAAAAACATGGTTTACTATAAATGGCCACTATTCCCTGGTCATTTAACAGATTTCGTTATCTGACAAGTGGTATGACTAATTAAAAACATGGTTTACTATAAATGGCCACTATTCCCTGGTCATTTAACAGATTTCGTTATCTGACAAGTGGTATGACTAATTAAAAACATGGTTTACTATAAATGGCCACTATTCCCTGGTCATTTAACAGATTTCGTTATCTGACAAGTGGTATGACTAATTAAAAACATGGTTTACTATAAATGGCCACTATTCCCTGGTCATTTAACAGATTTCGTTATCTGACAAGTGGTATGACTAATTAAAAACATGGTTTACTATAAATGGCCACTATTCCCTGGTCATTTAACAGATTTCGTTATCTGACAAGTGGTATGACTAATTAAAAACATGGTTTACTATAAATGGCCACTATTCCCTGGTCATTTAACAGATTTCGTTATCTGACAAGTGGTATGACTAATTAAAAACATGGTTTACTATAAATGGCCACTATTCCCTGGTCATTTAACAGATTTCGTTATCTGACAAGTGGTATGACTAATTAAAAACATGGTTTACTATAAATGGCCACTATTCCCTGGTCATTTAACAGATTTCGTTATCTGACAAGTGGTATGACTAATTAAAAACATGGTTTACTATAAATGGCCACTATTCCCTGGTCATTTAACAGATTTCGTTATCTGACAAGTGGTATGACTAATTAAAAACATGGTTTACTATAAATGGCCACTATTCCCTGGTCATTTAACAGATTTCGTTATCTGACAAGTGGTATGACTAATTAAAAACATGGTTTACTATAAATGGCCACTATTCCCTGGTCATTTAACAGATTCCGTTATCTGACAAGTGGTATGACTAATTAAAAACATGGTTTACTATAAATGGCCACTATTCCCTGGTCATTTAACAGATTTCGTTATCTGACAAGTGGTATGACTAATTAAAAACATGGTTTACTATAAATGGCCACTATTCCCTGGTCATTTAACAGATTTCGTTATCTGACAAGTGGTATGACTAATTAAAAACATGGTTTACTATAAATGGCCACTATTCCCTGGTCATTTAACAGATTTCGTTATCTGACAAGTGGTATGACTAATTAAAAACATGGTTTACTATAAATGGCCACTATTCCCTGGTCATTTAACAGATTCCGTTATCTGACAAGTGGTATGACTAATTAAAAACATGATATATTGTATTTCTTCTTCGTTTCTTTTATTTTACAATTTGATGGAATGGTCATAATTGAGAGCAATTATTTATTGATCATTTGTTTTATTTTTGGTTTATAGGGACGAGTCCCCACAAATCTCCGACATCTTCATTAAAAAAGGACCTTTTTTGAAATTGTACACATCCTACATACAAGATTTCAGTGATATGACTGCCATTCTGGATGAGGCTCTCAAGAAGTTACCACAGTTTAAGAGTGTGGTCAAAGAATTTGAGGTCAGTTAGCGTGCTGGTTTGATTTAGATCCTCCGAGAGAGTTTTGAAGCTTTTCCTCTGACGTTGCTCAAGTTTGAAATTTTCTTTACTTTCAAAGTATGACATATTGTTAATTAAAACTATTTTTTGTTTATAGACAAGTCCGAGGTGTGCTTGTCTTTCCATACGACAACATATGTTAAAGCCTATCCAGAGAATACCACAGTACAAACTCCTATTACAAGGTCAGTACAGCAGTACAAACTCCTATTACAAGGTCAGTACAGCAGTACAAACTCCTATTACAAGGTCAGTACAGCAGTACAAACTCCTATTACAAGGTCAGTACAGCAGTACAAACTCCTATTACAAGGTCAGTACAGTACAAACTCCTATTACAAGGTCAGTACAGTACAAACTGTTATTACAAGGTCAGTACAGCAGTACAAACTCCTATTACAAGGTCAGTACAGCAGTACAAACTCCTATTACAAGGTCAGTACAGCAGTACAAACTCCTATTACAAGGTCAGTACAGCAGTACAAACTCCTATTACAAGGTCAGTACATCAGTACAAACTCCTATTACAAGGTCAGTACAGTACAAACTCCTATTACAAGGTCAGTACAACAGTACAAACTCCTATTACAAGGTCAGTACAGTACAAACTCCTATTACAAGGTCAGTACAGTACAAACTGTTATTACAAGGTCAGTACAGCAGTACAAACTCCTATTACAAGGTCAGTACAGTTTAAACTCCTTTAACAGTACTGATAGTTTGAATAATAAACTCCTATTACAAGGTCAGTACAGCAGTACAAACTCCTATTACTGGGAACAAGGTACTGGGAATTTGGTTCTGTACTGGGAATGTGATTCTATACTGGGAATGTGATTCTATACTGGGAATGTGGTTCTGTACTTGGTATGTGATTCTGTGGTTCTTTACTGGAAAAGTGATGCTGTACAAACTCCTATCACAAGGTCAGTACAGCAGTACAAAGTCCTATTATAAGGTCATTACAATAGTTTAAACTCCTTTAACAAAGTCAGTATGATAAAAAACTGAATTTTTCTGATAGTTTGAATAATAATCTTTACTCAGAAAACAATGTGATTCTATACTGGGAATGTAGTTCTGTACTGGGAATGTGATTCTGTACTGGGAATGTAATTCTATACTGGAAATGTGGTTCTATGGTTCTGTACTGGGAATTTGGTTCTGTACTGGGAATGTGATTCTGTACTGGGAATGTGATTCTATACTGGGAATGTGATTCTATACTGGGAATGTGATTCTGTACTGGGAATGTGGTTCTGTACTGGGAATGTGATTCTATACTGGGAATGTGATTCTGTACTTGGTATGTGATTCTGTGGTTCTTTACTGGAAATGTGATGCTGTACTGGGAATGTGATTCTGTGGTTCTGTACTGGGAATTTGGTTCTGTACTGGGAATGTGATTCTGTACTGGGAATGTGATTCTGTACTGGGAATGTGGTTCTGTACTGGGAATGTGATTCTGTACTGGGAATGTGGTTCTATACTGGGAATGTGGTTCTGTACTGGGAATGTGGTTCTGTACTGGGAATGTGATTCTGTACTGGGAATGTGATTCTGTACTGGGTACTGGGAATGTGATTCTGTACTGGGAATGTGATTCTATACTGGGAATGTGATTCTGTACTGGGTATGTGATTCTGTACTGGGAATGTGATGCTGTACTGGGAATGTGATTCTATACTGGGAATGTGATTCTATACTGGGAATGTGATTCTGTACTGGGAATGTGATTCTATACTGGGAATGTGATTCTGTACTGGGAATGTGATTCTATACTGGTAATGTGATTCTTTACTGGGAATGTGATTCTGTAGTTCTGTACTGGGAATGTGGTTCTGTACTGGGAATGTGGTTCTATACTGGGAATGTGATTCTGTACTGGGTATGTGATTCTGTACTGGGAATGTGATTCTGTACTGGGTAAGTCCACTGCCATCTACTGAAAGGAAAGCTATGAAATGTACATTGCTTTGCTTAGAGATTGATTTAGTTATTACAGGGATGTGAAAATATATTACATTATATTGGGAACATTTCAAGGTCATTATTGTTTGTCGTTTGATCCTGAAAACTTGAAAGTTCCTATTTGGTAATATTAGAGATGAGTTTTGTTGACCAGTTTTGGTTTTTTAATTCAATGTCTTATAATGAGTAATTTGCAGATAGATCCTTTATACTGAATAAATATGTTGTTGATATTTTCAAAATATTGTCTAAGTATTCTTGCTTGTTAAAAGGAAAGTTTGTAGATGTTGTCCGTGACTTTTCCAGTGGGAGTACATGCTGTCTGAGTTATATGTGTTGCATGAATTGAGTTTGTGAAATTAAACCATTATCTGATATCTCTGTTGTATTCCATTGACTAGTGGATCCTTGACTGATTGTTAGAAAGGCACTAGGCGTTCAGGGGAGATTATGATTGGTGGCCAAACAATAAACAGCATGTTACTTATGGACTGAAAAGGCTGTGAATGCACTAGATAAAATGGCCAGATTTTACGTAAATCAGGGTTAGATATAATTTGGATTTTATTATAGATATTTATGTAGTCACTACCGGAAATTAAGATTTTAACACAAAACCATCTGATGCTCTCTCAGGTTATCCATTGTCAATAAAAATCACCGAATTGAAATGATGCTAAAATTTCTCACTACACAGGATGGTATATATTAAATATTCTTATTTTTTCAGATTATTTGAAACATCTCACAACAGATTCTCCAGATTATGAAAACACAAAAAGTAAGTTTTATGTTGTCAGAATACTACAGTACTTACAGGTGACTTACATCAAGTGAACAGGTGAGAATAATGTGTGCATCTCTGTACAGATAAAGACATTTCAATGTGATAGGAATATAATCCAGGTCTTAGGCAGAGGTAAATAATCAATGGACACTGAATTGTTACAGATCTTTAGTAATTAAAATGTACAAACATAATCAAGTCCTAGCTTTGCATCGTAGTATAACATTACTGTGTAATATACTGCCACCTTCTGTCCAGTGATGTATTGGTGGTGGTTACAGTGTAATATACTGCCACCTTCTGTCCAGTGATATATTGGTGGTGGTTACAGTGTAATATACTGCCACCTTCTGTCCAGTGATATATTGGTGGTAGTTACAGTGTAATATACTGCCACCTTCTGTCCAGTGATATATTGGTGGTGGTTACAGTGTAATATACTGCCACCCTCTGTCCAGTGATATATTGGTGGTGGTTACAGTGTAATATACCGCCACCTTCTGTCCAGTTATATATTGGTGGTAGTTACAGTGTAATATACTGCCACCTTCTGTCCAGTTATATATTGGTGGTGGTTACAGTGTAATATACTGCCACCTTCTGTCCAGTTATATATTGGTGGTAGTTACAGTGTAATATACTGCCACCTTCTGTCCAGTGATATATTGGTGGTGGTTACAGTGTAATATACTGCCACCTTCTGTCCAGTGATATATTGGTGGTGGTTACAGTGTAATATATTGGTGGTGGTTACAGTGTAATATACTGCCACCTTCTGTCTAGTGATATATTGGTGGTGGTTACAGTTTAATATACTGCCACCTTCTGTCCAGTGATATATTGGTGGTAGTTACAGTGTAATATACTGCCAACTTCTGTCCAGTGATGTATTAGTGGTGGTTACAGTATAATATACTGCCACCTTCTGTCCAGTGATGTATTGGTGGTAGTTACAGTGTAATATACTGCCACCTTCTGTCCAGTGATGTATTGGTGGTAGTTACAGTGTAATATACTGCCACCTTCTATCCAGTGATATATTGGTGGTGGTTACAGTGTAATATACTGCCACCTTCTGTCCAGTGATATATTGGTGGTGGTTACAGTGTAATATATTGGTGGTGGTTACAGTGTAATATACTGCCACCTTCTGTCTAGTGATATATTGGTGGTGGTTACAGTTTAATATACTGCCACCTTCTGTCCAGTGATATATTGGTGGTGGTTACAGTGTAATATACTGCCACCTTCTGTCCAGTGATGTATTGGTGGTGGTTACAGTGTAATATACTGCCACCTTCTGTCCAGTTATATATTGGTGGTAGTTACAGTGTAATATACTGCCACCTTCTGTCCAGTGATATATTGGTGGTGGTTACAGTGTAATATACTGCCACCTTCTGTCCAGTGATGTATTGGTGGTAGTTACAGTGTAATATACTGCCACCTTCTGTCCAGTGATGTGTTGGTGGTAGTTACAGTGTAATATACTGCCACCTTCTGTCCAGTGATATATTGGTGGTAGTTACAGTGTAATATACTGCCACCTTCTGTCCAGTGATATATTGGTGGTAGTTACAGTGTAATATACTGCCACCTTCTGTCCAGTGATGTATTGGTGGTAGTTACAGTGTAATATACCGCCACCTTCTGTCCAGTTATATATTGGTGGTAGTTACAGTGTAATATACCGCCACCTTCTGTCCAGTGATATATTGGTGGTGGTTACAGTGTAATATACTGCCACCTTCTGTCCAGTGATATATTGGTGGTGGTTACAGTGTAATATACTGCCACCTTCTGTCCAGTGATATATTGGTGGTGGTTACAGTGTAATATACTGCCACCTTCTGTCCAGTGATATATTGGTGGTAGTTACAGTGTAATATACTGCCACCTTCTGTCCAGTGATATATTGGTGGTGGTTACAGTGTAATATACTGCCACCTTCTGTCCAGTTATATATTGGTGGTGGTTACAGTATAATATACTGCCACCTTCTGTCCAGTGATATATTGGTGGTGGTTACAGTGTAATATACTGCCACCTTCTGTCCAGTTATATATTGGTGGTAGTTACAGTGTAATATACTGCCACCTTCTGTCCAGTGATATATTGGTGGTGGTTACAGTGTAATATACTGCCACCTTCTGTCCAGGGATGCATTTTATGGTAGCTACAACTTTGACATAATTACTAGTGTAGCTTTTGATAGAGAGGAACTAACTCTCAATGTTTTTTATTTATATTTAGGTGCCATTGTCATTGTGAGTACAGTAGCTGATCATGCAAATGACAGTATGAAGCAAGGAGACCATGTTCAGAGAATGTTGGAGATTCAGAAATCCTTGGATGGCAACTTCGAAGTGATAAAACCAGGCCGAGTAAGACTTATCTGTTTTAAGTTCAAAATAGTATTAGCAAACGTTATTTTGATTTGAAAACAATACATTGTCAATTATTTCTGTATTGAGTAATATTCACACCAGTGGGAATGTACTTCTAAATTATATGACACAAACTGTGCAGAACAACAAAATACACTAAGCATTTAATGTTTTTTTCATCATATTTCTGATAAATTTAGTAATATACTTCATGTTTCTTTCTTACAGTTGTTTATCAAGGCTGGAGAACTGATGAAGTTGTCAAGGAAAGAAATGCAGGCGAGGATGTTTTTCCTTGTAAGTGTCATGTCAACTCAATTGTAGAAATTATGAACCTTAGTTTCAGGCCAAACTAATATATCTTTGTTTTCTGTGTGTTGCGATCTCTTAATCAGTTCTAATTCGTACTAGCTTTACAGATGGATTGGTTTTCTGTGTGGCAATGTCCTGGTCAGTTCTAATTCAGGCCAGCATTAAATATCTATTTGTTTTCTGTGTGGCTATGTTAAAGTCAGCTCTAATTCAGGCCAGCCTTACATATCTATTTGTTTTCTATGTGGCTATGTTAAAGTCAGTTCTAATTCAGGCCAGCCTTACATTACTTAACATGTGGCTGCAAGATTGATTGAAACATTTTGGTAATAATGAAAAATATGAAAATAATGAAAATTTGGAAAATTTGGATTGCAAAATAAGTTTACTGTTTTCTTTAAACTTGTCATGATTAGTAAATATGCCATGTGGTTTTATTGCTGTATAGATATGGTGTATATAGAAGATACTAGTAATTTACTTTCTATACTTACATACTTCAGTACCCATACAATATATTTATAATGTAAATCATATACTAGTTACTTTCTCCTGGATATCTAGATTTCTTGTAAATAGTTACAGTGGTGATCCTGAAAGTGAAAGCCAATTAAACACTAGTAATAAGTATTATATTTGGATCACATCCTAATATCAAGTTTGTTTGTTTGTTTGTTTAACAGTTCAATGATGTATTGTTGATTACCACACCAACAGCTACTGGAGGGTACAGACTTAACCAGGTGCTCACTCTCACTGGTATGAAGGTAAGATTTAAGAGGTGGCTCAAGGCTGAAAATGTCGGCCTCCAGCAAGAATAGGCTAGAAGGTTCAAAGTATTGGAAAGTATGACCATTTTATTAGTCTCACGACAAAAACTTGAAATATTCATTACCTTACTCCTGCTTGTTGTATTTTAGGAGGTGGTATAGAGCATGTCCTTAGAAAACCATTTTTGGACAAAGGCAGGTTCTAGAAGTTACGAATTACACAGCTTATACATGGCTGCCTTAGTATATGTTTATCATGGAGGGTTATAATAACATTTTGTTTCTGCGACAAACATTTAAATCCAATAAAGTTCCATGTTGAAAAAAGCTGGATAAGTATAAGGTTACTGTGGGTTCCTGGTTTATGATAGTGTTTTGGATCACATATGAATTGAGTGTATGTAGATAGCACTTATGTGGTAAATGTGACAGGACACCATCATCTACTACTGATGTTCAGTAACCTCTGGCATCAGGAAAGGAAAACTGTAGAAATAAATTAAGCTGGATTTACTATACTACAGTTTTACATGAGCAGGTGAGATGAGCTTTATTTTGTGTTTTGACAGGTGTACATGTCTACCCATGATGAATTCAGTAACGAGTTTAATATCATTAGCACCCAGAAGTCTTTCACAGTTGAGGCAAAGTAAGTACAGGCACAGATCAGTATAGTGAAAAAAGACCTTTGTATTAAGCAGTTTAAACATAGTGTAGTTAACAAATGGATAATAGAATACTGTATCCAACTCCTACATATGTAGTACACTTTAGTCATTGATGGTCAAAATCTGTATCTGATTGTTGGATAGGAACAGATTTTTATGAGTGATGTTTTAGATTTGTATACAATTCTTAAGTATCAACAGAATTATGTGATTAGTTTGCAAATTAAATTTCTGAAGCAAAGTGGCATGAAATCAGTCAAAATATCAGACCAACAGGCATAGGAGTCATAGAATTTAGGCTGGAATTTGGTTTTTACTTCATCAATTCAATTGTTGGATTTCTTAAGAAAACTGTCATAAATAAAAATGTTACAGGTCTTGGTGAAAGTCATATTATCTATATGGTAGTATTAATATTATATTACATTCTCAGGTCTTATTAAGACATAGATCCGATGTCAGTGCCGTCAGGTATTTCTTGATTTCTTAATATTTCCCTAAACATAAATACATTAACATATTAGAAATTACCCCATGACCAACATGAATACCTGTATTTAACTGTAACAGGACAAAAGCAGACAAAAATGCATGGATAGACACGCTCAATCAAGCAGTGAAAGAAAACACAGAGAAGCGAAACACCTTTGAGAAAATGCAGGTAAATATGTACAGCCTGTGATGTATTGATTACGGTGTAAATGTGTGGGCAAGTCATAAGTTGTATTACTGGTACATATAATGTATTACAATGTATTACTGATACATATAAATGTATTACAATGTATTACTGATACATATAATGTATTACAATGTATTACTGATACATATAAATGTATTACAATGTATTACTGATACATATAAATGTATTACAATGTATTACTGATACATATAAATGTATTACAATGTATTACTGATACATATAAATGTAATACATTGTATAATTGAAATGTAAGATGTTTAACAGTGTTCCTCATACTTATTACAGGTGCCCGATTGTGACTTTAAAAAGGGTGAGAAGGCCCCAGTGTGGATTCCTGACTCTCGTGTTACCATGTGTATGATGTGTACGTCGGAATTCTCTGTGATTCACAGGCGACATCACTGTCGGGCGTGTGGCAAGGTATACTGCTGTTAAACACATTTTTATTAATGTTGTTCATAACATATTCACATGTCAAACACTGGATATTGGATTATAATCTATGACAGGTGGATACGTAATAATTATAGGACTAACATTCTTTATTTTTTTAGATATCAATAAAAATAGTTGCAGTGACTTTTAATTTTAGTAATTAACAGAAAGTCTTAGTTTTGTAACATACTATTGGAAAATAGAACGTTTTATATCCTTTTCTCGTAGTGTTTTTTAACACTATAGTAACTTTTTAAAAAATCTTCTTCTCATCACCCTGATATGGTAGAATCAAATGCTGTTTAGGGATGGAAGAGTCTTGCCACCTCAAGATCTCACCTTTCCCCTAGAGGAGGGGGTAAATTTAACTATGTAGCATGTGAAAACTACTTTCCCTATAACTTAATATTCATCAGTGATTAGCTCAGATGATCATCAAAACTGCGAGGCCTCTTGTGCACATTTTTTGCCACTGATATTTCATGTGATTTTTACATGTTGTTACTGACATTATGTGTGATTTTTCATGTTGTTACTGACATTATGTGTGATTTTTACATGGTGTTACTGACATTATGTGTGATTTTTACATGATGTTACTGACATTATGTGTGATTTTTACATGTTGTTACTGACATTATGTGTGATTTTTCATGTTGTTACTGACATTAAGTGTGATTTTTACATGTTGTTACTGACATTATGTGTGATTTTTACATGTTGTTACTGACATTATGTGTGATTTTTACATTACATTATGTGTGATTTTTGTGTGTGATTTTTACATTATGTGTGATTTTTGTTGTTACTGACATTATGTGTGATTTTTACATGGTGTTACTGACATTATGTGTGATTTTTACATGTTGTTACTGACATTATGTGTGATTTTTACATGTTGTTACTGACATTATGTGTGATTTTTACATGATGTTACTGACATTATGTGTGATTTTCACACATGTTGTTACTGACATTATGTGTGATTTTTACATGTTGTTACTGACATTATGTGTGATTTTTACATGATGTTACTGACATTATGTGTGATTTTCACACATGTTGTTACTGACATTATGTGTGATTTTTACATGTTGTTACTGACATTATGTGTGATTTTTCATGTTGTTACTGACATTATGTGTGATTTTTACATGTTGTTACTGACATTATGTGTGATTTTTACATGTTGTTACTGACATTATGTGTGATTTTTACATGTTGTTACTGACATTATGTGTGATTTTTACACATGTTGTTACTGACATTATGTGTGATTTTTACATGTTGTTACTGACATTATGTGTGATTTTTACATGTTGTTACTGACATTATGTGTGATTTTTACACATGTTGTTACTGACATTATGTGTGATTTTTACACATGTTGTTACTGACATTATGTGTGATTTTTACATGTTGTTACTGACATTATGTGTGATTTTTACATGTTGTTACTGACATTATTTGTGATTTTTACATGTTGTTACTGACATTATGTGTGATTTTTACATGTTACTGACATTATGTGTGATTTTTACATGTTGTTACTGACATTATGTGTGATTTTTACATGTTGTTACTGACATTATGTGTGATTTTTACATGTTGTTACTGACATTATGTGTAATTTCTACATGTTACAGGTTTTGTGTTCCTACTGTTCAATGAACAAAGTTCCATTGAAGTACCTTAAGGACAAATTGGGACGCGTGTGTAAAGAATGTTACGATGAACTGAATCCAGGTACACTCTACTGACTTATCTTAATCCAAGCAAATCAAGAAATGTTACATGTACTCAGCTAAAATCCAACAAATATTTTAAATCATACAGTTAACAAAGAATTCTATCTATTTCATTGTGGATAACTTTATTCTATGGATCAAATAACAGACAGGGTTGGTGAAAAAGATGACATCTAGATAATGTATAAGCTGTTTGGTATGAGAGATATGACACTGATAATAATGTGAGTGTTAGCAGTGTTTCTCTTGAGAGATATGACACACAGATAATGTGTTAGCAGTGTTTCACATGAGAGATATGACACTGAGATAATGTGAGTGTTAGCAGTGTTTCACATGAGAGATATGACACTGAGATAATGTGAGTGTTAGCAGTGTTTCACATGAGAGATATGACACTGAGATAATGTGAGTGTTAGCTGTGTTTCACATGAGAGATATGACACACAGATAATGTGAGTGTTAGCTGTGTTTCACATGAGAGATATGACACACAGATTATATGAATGTGTATTAGCTGGCTGAAACTTGATAATTGTTTTTGCTCAAACCTTTGCTCCTGTACATAAACTTAATGTCGTACTGCCAAATCTGATATTGACACAGCCCAAAAATCTGATATTGTAGATGACGTTGATGATGAAGATGTAGAAATACTATATCACCAGAAGTCGCCTTTTGGTTTCATTAAAGGGAAATTGTTTCGGAAAAGCAATAACAAACCATCTCGACCAAAGAGATACCTCGAGGTTAGTATTAAATTCGCTCACTCAAAGGATTATATTCTTTGTTTCATAATGAATAATAGTGATATTTCATTGAGAGGGGTGAAAAATATCAGTTTCCACCCGATGAGATGAAGTTTAACTTTTATTCCTCAAAAACAAGGAATACAGTATTCTGCTTTTTCTTGTCTGTCATTGATAGATTTTATTGCTCTCTCTGTCCTCATTCTGCCAGGTATATAGTTTCACATGGCAGATCTCCAAACCATTTGTTATAAACTAATTACAACATATGAAAAGTCTAATGATAAATCCAGATTGGCTAGGATCAACAACTCTAGAATTTCCTACCATTTCATGGGGCTATACCAGAGTTGTCTTTCTTGTGAAAAATTAATAAATAATTATGTTGGAGCTGTTGCATTAAACACTTAACCTCGTATAACAAATGACTGAATTTCAGAATCAAACTTCTAAATTATATGGAACTCTACCAGATTTAATTATGACAAGACAAACACTTAAATATAGATAGTGTATATCACTATTGATTTTGTCAGGCAACGACGGGTTGTGTTGTATGGTATATACACTGCACTATCTGTCCCTCCATTTACTGTTAAATTCTCCTTATTAGTGCTCTCTTACCTTTTCTGATAGACTGATTTTAATGAAACTTGCTATAAATATTTGTAACATTCGTATTACACAATATTGCAATTATTTGTAGCAGAGTTATGCCCCTTTTATTTGCAAAGATGGGCATTGTGTAGAAAGGCAAGAACCAGAGTAGGCCAGACAGGTGGAGCCCCAAGATGGAAAATAGATCAAATTCTTTAAAATCCTCCTTATCCTGGGCGAAGGCAAATCATTTTTTATTTATAAATGATGGGTCTATGCCCCCTGGGGCCAGAGGGCCAATTTAGTCAGCTTAAGTTTATACAATATAAGTAACACATTAATGACAAATATTTCATTGTTAATAAGTACATTGCAAAAGTTCATTCGGGTTTGACTTTATATATTTCATATCTGCAGGTTCACGCCAATGATCAGGATTCACAGATGTGTGGTTATCTCAGAGTTCTACAGAAGGGAAAGTGGAAAAAGTTCTGGCACCTCCTCAAAGACAAAGTCTTGTACACCTACGGAGCTAGAGAGGTAAACATGTGACACCTGTAAAGCTAGAGAGATAAACATGTGACACCTGTAGAGGTAGAGAGGTAAACATGTGACAACTGTAGAGGTAGATAGGTAAACATGTGACACCTCGAGAGGTAGAGAGGTAAACATTTGACACCTGTAGAGATAGAGAAGTAAACATGTAACACCTGTAGAGCTGGAGAGGTACACATGTGATACCTTTAGAGCTGGAGAGGTAACGTGTGACACCTGTAGAGGTAGAGAGGTAAACATTTGACACCTGTAGAGGTAGAGAGGTAAACATTTGACACCTGTAGAGATAGAGAAGTAAACATGTAACACCTGTAGAGCTGGAGAGGTACACATGTGATACCTTTAGAGCTGGAGAGGTAACGTGTGACACCTGTAGAGGTAGAGAGGTAAACATTTGACACCTGTAGAGGTAGAGAGGTACACATGTGACACCTGTAGAGCTAGAGAGGTAAACATTTGACACCTGTAGAGCTAGAGAAGTAAACATGTGACACCTGTAGAGCTGGAGAGGTAAACATGTGAAACCTGTAGATCTAGAGAGGTAAACATGTGACACCTGTAGAGCTGGAGAGGTACACATGTGACACCTGTAGATCTAGAGAGGTAAACATGTGACACCTGTAGAGCTGGAGAGGTACACATGTGACACCTGTAGATCTAGAGAGGTAAACATGTGACACCTGTAGAGCTGGAGAGGTACACATGTGACACCTGTAAAGCTGGAGAGGTAAACATGTGACACCTGTAGAGCTGGAGAGGTACACATGTGACACCTGTAGAGCTGGAGAGGTACACATCATTGTAATCTAACACCTTGAGGAAGAAATTTTAATCATTTGTTAAAGTCATGTTATAATTCTAATGACATTTTGTTCCTCTGGTATCATTGTCATGTCATCTGGTTTGTTTCCATAATTATGGTTATTCAGTGAATTTCAACAATTTGTAAGTTTATGCTCAATTTTAAGTATGTCAGCCTTGGTTGATCGATACCTGTCATAGACTGAATGAATATACCTCTTCAAAAATCTATAACACGGGAAAAAAAGAGCTCCATCTTTCTGATTGGTAGCTAACATGTCGTGTCACACGGACACACTTAATGACATCTAACTTTTCTGACTGTCAAAAATGTTTGCTGTCAACAATGATTAAAGTTTAAGTTATAAAGAATGTTCCCTTAATATGATCAAATCAAAATTTAGTTGCCTCTAACGAATCATGCAGCAGGGACAACAGGTTTTTGTGTCTTGTCTGCCGGGCTCCTGAATTTGTGCTCCCACATTCATTGCTAAGTTGAGTTTTCCTTTTTTTAGGACACAGCTGCAGTAGAAATAAAGCCAGTTGTTGGATACGAGGTCGCGGGGTTTAATGAGGTAAGTTGTACATCTCGTTATCTTAAGTATTGTCTCTTAAATTCATTTCCTATAAGGATATCAAAAAAGATACATTAATTGACATCAATTATGAACATAAAAAAGTTACAAAATTAACTACAACTAAATCAGTTGAGTATACAGTATTTATTTCACTGTTTTCCTCCACTATTGTTTACAGAAGGTGATATGAAGTTAAGAACTGAAGGATTTTTTCTTTGTAGATATATGATGGTATTCACCAATCAGTGCTTTTCCAGTTAAAACATCAGAACCAGAAACCCATAATCTTCCAAGGAGATAACGCTTCCATCACAGAAAGGTGATTTGAATATCAGCTATGAAATTTTTTTTTTAAATGTTGTGTAAAAAGTTTTAACTGGTCTGTCATCTGGAGGAAACTAATATTAGTTTTGTTGTTTCTTAAGATACACTCAGTGGATTATTTTCAAATTTAATGTTTAGATTACCTTTAGTCTTTAGTTGTGGAACTGAGTGGCCATCTTGAATTTCATTTGTTTAATGGTCTTGATTTTTTACTGTTTTAGAATTTCATTTATAGGTTCCATTTAGTCTTTTATTGTTGTGCATGTTTGTGACTGATTTGAAAAATGAGATGTTGACACTTGTAGGTTGTTAATTGTTTCTCTAAAGGCTTTGATGTTACAATAAATCAATACATCCTACAATTAAAAACAAATAGGAGGGAAGAGAGGAAAAGTTTGTCCAATAGTGGGTGTCAAGGTCCCAGAGGAAAAGTTTGTCCAATAGTGGGTGTCAAGGTCCCAGAGGAAAAAGTTGTCCAATAGTGGGTGTCAAGGTCCCAGAGGAAAAGTTTGTCCAATAGTGGGTGTCAAGGTCCCAGAGGAAAAGGTTGTCCAATAGTGGGTGTCAAGGTCCCAGAGGAAAAAGTTGTCCAATAGTGGGTGTCAAGGTCCCAGAGGAAAAGATCTTCCAATAGTGGGTGTCAAGGTCCCAGAGGAAAAGTTTGTCCAATAGTGGGTGTCAAGGTCCCAGAGGAAAAGTTTGTCCAATAGTGGGTGTCAAGGTCCCAGAGGAAAAGGTTGTCCAATAGTGGGTGTCAAGGTCCCAGAGGAAAAGGTCTTCTAATAGTGGGTGTCAAGGTCCCAGAGGAAAAGATCTTCTAATAGTGGGTGTCAAGGTCCCAGAGGAAAAGTTTGTCCAATAGTGGGTGTCAAGGTCCCAGAGGAAAAGGTTGTCCAATAGTGGGTGTCAAGGTCCCAGAGGAAAAAGTTGTCCAATAGTGGGTGTCAAGGTCCCAGAGGAAAAGATCTTCCAATAGTGGGTGTCAAGGTCCCAGAGGAAAAGTTTGTCCAATAGTGGGTGTCAAGGTCCCAGAGGAAAAGAGGTCAGAGGAAAAGGTTGTCCAATAGTGGGTGTCAAGGTCCCAGAGGAAAAGGTTGTCCAATAGTGGGTGTCAAGGTCTAATAGTGGGTGAGGAAAAGATCCTTCCTTCCAATAGTGGGTGTCAATAGTGGGTGTCAAGGTCCCAGAGGAAAAAGTCAAGGTCCCAGAGGAAAAGTTTGTCCAATAGTGGGTGTCAAGGTCCCAGAGGAAAAGGTTGTCCAATAGTGGGTGTCAAGGTCCCAGAGGAAAAGGTCTTCTAATAGTGGGTGTCAAGGTCCCAGAGGAAAAGATCTTCTAATAGTGGGTGTCAAGGTCCCAGAGGAAAAGTTTGTCCAATAGTGGGTGTCAAGGTCCCAGAGGAAAAGGTTGTCCAATAGTGGGTGTCAAGGTCCCAGAGGAAAAAGTTGTCCAATAGTGGGTGTCAAGGTCCCAGAGGAAAAGATCTTCCAATAGTGGGTGTCAAGGTCCCAGAGGAAAAGTTTGTCCAATAGTGGGTGTCAAGGTCCCAGAGGAAAAGTTTGTCCAATAGTGGGTGTCAAGGTCCCAGAGGAAAAGGTTGTCCAATAGTGGGTGTCAAGGTCCCAGAGGAAAAGGTCTTCTAATAGTGGGTGTCAAGGTCCCAGAGGAAAAGATCTTCTAATAGTGGGTGTCAAGGTCCCAGAGGAAAAGGTCCAATAGTGGGTGTCAAGGTCCCAGAGGAAAAGATCTTCCAATAGTGGGTGCCAAGGTCCCAGAGGAAAAGATCTTCTAATAGTGGGTGTCAAGGTCCCAGAGGAAAAGATCTTCCAATAGTGGGTGTCAAGATCCCAGAGGAAAAGGTTGTCCAATAGTGGGTGTCAAGGTTCCTGAGGAAAAGATCTTCCAATAGTGGGTGTCAAGATCCCAGAGGAAAAGTTTGTCCAATAGTGGGTGTCAAGGTCCCAGAGGAAAAGGTTGTCCAATAGTGGGTGTCAAGGTCCCAGAGGAAAAAGTTGTCCAATAGTGGGTGTCAAGGTCCCAGAGGAAAAGATCTTCCAATAGTGGGTGTCAAGGTCCCAGAGGAAAAGTTTGACCAATAGTGGGTGTCAAGGTCCCAGAGGAAAAGTTTGTCCAATAGTGGGTGTCAAGGTCCCAGAGGAAAAGGTTGTCCAATAGTGGGTGTCAAGGTCCCAGAGGAAAAGGTCTTCTAATAGTGGGTGTCAAGGTCCCAGAGGAAAAGATCTTCTAATAGTGGGTGTCAAGGTCCCAGAGGAAAAGGTCTTCTAATAGTGGGTGTCAAGGTCCCAAAAAAAGATCTTCCAATAGTGGGTGCCAAGGTCCCAGAGGAAAAGATCTTCTAATAGTGGGTGTCAAGGTCCCAGAGGAAAAGATCTTCCAATAGTGGGTGTCAAGATCCCAGAGGAAAAGGTTGTCCAATAGTGGGTGTCAAGGTTCCTGAGGAAAAGATCTTCCAATAGTGGGTGTCAAGATCCCAGAGGAAAAGGTTGTCCAATAGTGGGTGTCAAGGTCCCAGAGGAAAAGATCTTCCAATAGTGGGTGCCAAGGTCCCAGAGGAAAAGATCTTCTAATAGTGGGTGTCAAGATCCCAGAGGAAAAGATCTTCCAATAGTGGGTGCCAAGGTCCCAAAGGAAAAGATCTTCCAATAGTGGGTGTCAAGGTCCCAGAGGAAAAGATTTTCCAATAGTAGGTGTCAAGGTCCCAGAGGAAAAGGTTGTCTAATAGTGGGTGTCAAGGTCCCAAAAAAAGATCTTCCAATAGTGGGTGTCAAGGTCCCAGAGGAAAAGATCTTCCAATAGTGGGTGTCAAGATCCCAGAGGAAAAGGCTGTCCAATAGTGGGTGTCACTGTCCAGAGATCTCTTGTTCATATATTTTTAAGGGATTTGATTTTGACTTATCAATAGTTATTAAAGAGGATACATAATTACATCCATGAGAAATATTTTCTCAACACTGAATCAAAATCACAGGAAAATATTTCTATACTTGTTATGCCTGTTTATACTCAGATCCTACTATATAGACAGGGTAGTGAGAAATTGAATCCCTGTTAACCAGGCTATAGATGTAATCAGGACAAACGTAAATCCTCTTCTGATTGAACAATTAATGTGTGTAAGCATTAGAATTAGTTTAAAACCAATGATCAAGTGGAAAAACCAGTAAAAATTTCTCTGCTCATTCCCGGTGAAAACTATTTCAGATATTGAAATAATGAATCTCTTTGACAAAGTCAAGGTGGCCATGATATTTTTGCTGCCAGAGCAGTAGATTTCTACAGTCTGAGGTACTAAAGTGTTTGGTTTTATCCTTACCAGGGCAGTTTGTATTTCTCAGGAAAGTAGAGATCATGGATTGTTCAGAACTGCTGTTGTAGTGTGCAAGGGCACATTATATAGTAACGTAACACAATAAAGTACCAGTATGGAAGTATGAAACCTTTTTTTTATATATTGTTTCTGTTCTTACAAGAAACTTTTATCATTTTTTTTCCTTAGGTGGATTAAAGTGATGAAAGAAGCATCTGTACCCTGAGCATGTGGTCATCAACTGGCAAACTTGTGCAAACTTATCTCAGTAGGCAATGGCCTGATCTGTGTTCCTTGACCCTGACTGTGATTTATAGACTCATTGATCCTTATAAGTGTCCTCAGTAGACCATTCGGTATAAGCCCTGACTGTGATTTACATAAGATATGTACTTGACTCGTGGAACACTATTTCCATAGACCATTGTGTGATGTGGAATTCTGGACGCAGGCTGTGAAGTCATGAGGAAACCATTGTAATCAAGGGAAGTTATCGTCGCTAAAAACCATGAGTGACCATGGAAACAGGTTACTATCAAAACTGTTTGTAACCAAGGCAACAATAAGTAACAAAGGAAAGCTGAAGTAAGCAAGGAAAAACCTAAGGATCAAAGGAGTTATGATGATTTAAGGAATCATGGGACCCACAGTTACCATGGTAATAACGGATACCCATAGAAGGTCAAAGTAACCAAAGAAACTACAAGTAACCAAAGGAACCACAAGTAACCCAGGAAACCTGAGTAACCAAGGCAATGCTGATAGCCAGGGATATGTCTGGTGAAAAATAGACGGGGAATGCTTAACTTTGGTCTCTGAGTAAACCTGTGCAAAATTATTTGGGTCACATAAGTATGTTAAAGGTTTGAATAGTGAAGAGATTCTGAAATGGTGCTTGGGACCATTTGAATGCTTGGAAGATTCAGTGGTGTCCTCAGATCTCTTGCAAAGTAAGGCTACACATTTTGAAAGAAAGGTGCAATATTTTTGAGATTATCATAACTTCTGGAAGCTTTGCACAATTCTATAGTGTCCAAACGACAATCGCCTTAAAGCTGACACAGAAACTGAACCATTTGTCCCTTCGATAACTACAGTCACACTAGCTGCCTTGTAAAATCAAAATGAATATTATTTTGTATGTTAAGATTGCCTATGAGTTTGTAGCGACAGAAGAAGTCTACCAGATGCCTCTGATGATGGACAGTGGTAGTGGGCGGAGCTATTGTTTTTATATTGGTTCAAGATAAGGTTGTGATATGAAATGACAAAAACGCAAACTATGATGTCATCACTTTTTGTGTACTTTCCTTTGTGGCTTATTTTCCATGAATGACTTATAAAATATGATATACAATATGTACTGGTGATATTTCAGAACATTTTCGTCAGGTTGGTAATGTCAGTAGAATGGAAATTCTTATAATAGTCAACCAGTAGAAGATTTAAGTGTGCCAGTCACCTTGTCAACCAGTAGAAGATTTAAGTGTGTCAGTCACCTGGTCAACTAGTAGAAGATTTAAGTGTGTCAGTCACCTGGTCAACTAGTAGAAGATTTAAGTGTGCCAGTCACCTTGTCAACCAGTAGAAGATTTAAGTGTGTCAGTCACCTGGTCAACTAGTAGAAGATTTAAGTGTGTCAGTCACCTGGTCAACTAGTAGAAGATTTAAGTGTGCCAGTCACCTGGTCAACCAGTAGAAGATTTAAGTGTGTCAGTCACCTGGTCAACCAGCAGAAGATTTTAGTGTGTCTAGTCACCTCAATCATACAAATGACCAGTGTTAAGTGTCTTAGCACTGACTTAGGTAGTGCACTTATATGTAGCCAGCTACAGCACATTGTTAACATCATGTGTTCTTTTATAATCTTTTCACCGTCTTGTCACACTATTTCTATCTTGGTGTACTTATGATTTTAATATAAGTGAAAAAGTTGGTAAATTCCTAACCATCTCTTGCACTATGTACATCAGTGTTAGTACGCTCAATACTGGTCATTTGTCTAATGACTTTGACTCTGTAGTCATGGAAACAACGCACTCAAATCTTCTACTGGTTGTGTTATCTGAACTTCTATTTTATATGAAACTGATGAATTTGAATTTGAAAATATCAGCCTCAAAACTTCTGTTATGTAATAAGTAAATAAACTTAGTTATTACAGAAATATGTAATATATGATATAGAATATTTATTCTATATAGTTTACCTAAACAATATGTGCAATAGATTCAGTGGTTATAACTGTATATTTTTGTTGATTATTTTAGTGGTGTGTTAGTAGATTTAATGGTATGCTTAAGGCTTTATTTTTTGTTAAACAAAATGATGCTGGGTTGTTAATGTTACATATATGATCATTATTTCACTCGCTGATTCACACAGTTTATTGTAAAGTGCTTTTCATCAGTGAATTTGATTTAAGTTAATTCTACATACTTTAAATCAATTTGTAAATTCTTTTGTTTACGCATGTTATATAAAATCTATTCTGTAATATATATAATTAAAAACTACATCTAAACCTAAACCACAATTTTAAGTTATTTTCAGTATCAACAAACTGTCAACACAGTAAACAATACAGAAACTGTCAACAAGCTAAACAATACGAAAACTGTCAACAAGCTAAACAATACGAAAACAGTCAACAAACTAAACAATACAAAAACAGTCAACAAGCTAAACAATACGAAAACTGTCAACAAAGTAAACAATACGAAAACAGCTAACAAGCTAAACAATACGAAAACTGTCAACACAGGAAACAATACGAAAACTGTCAACAAACTAAACAATACGAAAACTGTCAACAAACTAAACAATACGAAAATTGTCAACAAGCTAAACAATACGAAAACTGTCAACAAAGTAAACAATACGAAAACTGTCAACAAAGTAAACAATACGAAAACTGTCAACAAGCTAAACAATACGAAAACTGTCAACACAGTAAACAATACGAAAACTGTCAACAAGCTAAACAATACGAAAACTGTCAACAAACAATACAAAAACAGTCAACAAGCTAAACAATACGAAAACTGTCAACAAAGTAAACAATACGAAAACTGTCAACAAGCTAAACAATACGAAAACTGTCAACAAACTAAACAATATAGAAGTATCTATTATCTATAGCTAGTTTTGATATTCACCGGTATGACTCCTTATTGTGCTTTAGATTACATAGATTCTATACGATTAATATACAAATGTTATTTAAATGTTATATTTATGTTAATTATATGTATATGATTTAAAGCTTTGTGTAAATTGTTTTGTAATCAGTTAGATGGTATACTTACTCTGATACTTACACTCATCACTGATTAAATGTTGTTACCATGGTTACGATGACACCTACATTTATCACTGGTTAGATGTTGTTACCATGGCTACGCTGACACCTACATTTATCACTGATAAGATGTTGCTGCCATAGTTACCAGACACCTACACTTGTCACTGATTAGATGTTGTAACCATGGTTACACTGTCACTAACACTAATCACTGATTAGATGTTGTTACCTTGGTTACACTGACACCTACATTTATCACTGATTAGATGTTGTAACCATGGTTACACTGTCACTAACGTTTATCACTGGTTAAATGTTGCAACCATGGTTACACTGTCACTAACACTTATCACTGGTTAGATGTTGTTACCTTGGTTACACTGACACCTACACTAATCACTGGTTAGATGTTGTAACCATGGTTACACTGACACCTACACTTATCAGAGGTTAGATGTTGTAACCATGGTTACCTGACACCTACACTTATCATTGGTTAGATGTTGTTACCATGGTTACAGTTCCACATACCCTTATCACTAATGAGATATAGGTACCATGGTTACTGTGACACCAATATTCATCATTGGTTAGATATAGTTAGGGTCCTACAGATGCCTATACCCTCTAGTTATCAGGTTTTCTGAGCATTGTGATGTTTTATTTCAATTTCTCCTCTCACAGTTTCCAACTGATTTCTTTCAAACTTACACCAAATCACCAGACATGAAGTTGTGTTTTCCTGATTCAGTTACTTTGGAAGAAAAATTGCCCCATGTATATTTTCAGTCTGAAATATCCTCTTGGTAGTCTTATTTTTGTTTCTTTGTCTTGTATCCTCTTCTGCAGTTTACAATAGATATCATGGCCTGAATTTGCTTCCTCAATGGTGTGTTGATAGGACAGTTACCATTTTATTTACATTTCTTTTCATTAATAAAGAAACTATATTTTTTTTGGCTATGGTACTCCTGTTATATCTAACTGGTGATAATGTTGTGTCATATTTTTTTTTGATGAAGAATGTAATTGATTGTGATTTGTATCTAGCAACATAAGGTTGATACCTGAATACACCCTGGTAAGCCCAGGAAAAGATCCCTTTTGTGAATATACAATACTTCAAATGAAATGAAGAAATTTTTGTTATTTTAAAATTTTTGAGAATTATATGCAAAATATGAGAATTGGTTGTTCTCCTTGTTAAAATGCCAAATATATAATCTGTTTATATTGAACTTGTATTTATTATGTAAATATATCATAATTACTGTATTTAACATAGTCATACACCAAGAATGTGCCAAACCTGATGAGGATAGATTGACCTAATGACTGTGGTCATAGTGGTCAGTACATGGTTAGTTAATTATAAAATGTGTCTCCTCATGAATAATAGTGATATGTCAATAACTCATTATTGGTTAGGTACTAGATCTTTTATACTATGTATCAAATTTCTGTTTTCTACCACATTCAGGAATTATCTCAACAGAAGGCCTTAGATTTGTTGTTCCAATCTTACTTTAGATTGAAGAGAAGGTATAAAAAGCTAACAAGAGGTAGAAAGACAGATTCTCTTGTGACTAACAAGAGGTAGAAAGACAGATTCTCTTGTGACTAACATAACCATTGCTAACAAGAGGTGACCTGACTGTGACAAGCCAAGAACAGGTAGCAACTTTCTGATGCTTGACCACCTTGGACAGATTATCTCGTGACTAACAAGAGGTAGAAAGACAGATTCTCTTGTGACTAACTAGAGGTAGAAAGACAGATTCTCTCGTGACTAACAAGAGGTAGAAAGACAGATTCTCTTGTGACTAACAAGAGGTAGAAAGACAGATTCTCTTGTGACTAACAAGAGGTAGAAAGACAGATTCTCTTGTGACTAACAAGAGGTAGAAAGACAGATGCTCATG